ACTCTCCCTCTCTGCTCCTCCCTTCACTCCCTTCCTCCTTCTTTCGAAAACTAATGCCTATAATTATTATCCAATGAAGACGTTCTGCTGAACCACAGTTCTATAAGCTGTACCTTCGAGGAGATTGAGCTATGTTACTACACCCAAGACACAACGGATGACTACAACTGGTCCTGGAAGAACAGAGGTACTCCGGCCTCCTACACCGGCCCTGATGTGGACCACACTAGAGGAGACGAACTTGGTGAGCTTGACCTTATGGTGAAAAGGGGATCAATCACCCAAATTGTTTTGCTCCATTACAGTCAAACCTGTTTTAGTGACCACCTGTCTACAAAGACCACGTTTGTTGTTTCTCTTGAAAATTGTTTCTCATTGAAAAATGCACTTAAGGAACCTGTCTACAAAGACCACTTTTTGTGTTTCCCTTGGTCGGTCGCTAAAGACAGGTTTGACTGTATATTCAGAATGTGGGTTTCATATATTTTTGTCAAAACTGAATGTGTATTTTTCCTTTTTTGTCTATTCAGTTTTCCGTTTTTAGAATAAAAGAAAAAATGCATACAATATACACATTTAGAATTAATAACAGCGTAAGGGTTACAAATACAATGCAAGTTTTAATACAAGAACTGCATTGTGCGATGTTCCCTGGAATGCTGGAAGGCAAGTTTTTGTTGAATTTTCCTCCATTTTGATAACGAAAATTTTCTATCTGATGTGTTTGATCAGGTTTCTTCATGTTAATCAACCCGTCCAACTCCAAACCCATCGGAGCCAAGGCACGCTTTATCTCACCCCTCTCAACGCCCCTCCCCCAGGGCGGCTGCATCGAGTTTTACTACAACATGTACGGTATCGACGTCGAGACCCTGAACGTCTACACGAAGACGGAAGACCAGGACCTACCAGGAACTCAAGTCTGGTCTCAGCAAGGAAACCAGGGAAACTACTGGCATAGGGCCACGTTTGCGACCCCAAGTGGTCAAGGTTTTCAGGTAAGGAGACTATATGAAGACAAGTTGTAATAGAATTCTTCACCATGTGCACAGAGTGATTGTTGTATTTATTGTATTAGATTGGTTTATTGAGATAAAAGTAATCGAACATGCAGCTATAACAGATGAAATTGTTCAATGTACAGAGCATCAAAATACATTGATAATGCAATACAATATCTATATCACTGAACAAAATGTATTTATTTACATTTGAATCTCGTATTCTCTCATCTTAGGTGTATCAATATAACCATGTTCATAAATAATAAAAATCCATTTTCTGTTTCGAACAGAATGTACGTGCAACAGGCATTTGTACAAGGGCATTGCGAGATAAAGAAAACAATTTTCCCGAAAGGGGATCTACATGAGAGTCTGTGTAACAAATACAAAAAATAATAAACAAACTTGATAGAAAATTGACTTAATTTAAGTATGAGTGTCTGACATGAAGGTGCAGTAATCTATTTTCAATTCGTCATTTTTGTTTAAGGTCGTGTTTGAAGGAGTTCGCGGCATCGAGTCACGGGACGACATCGCTATCGATGACGTATTCCTGTATACCGACGGTCCTAACAGTTGCCCGCCGAGTGAGTATAGGGCGATTATTTATAACACTGCCAACGCCATCTAGCTTTATCGTCTTACTTTTATGACAATTATTCAAAGTAAAAAATTAAAAAGATGGATTACTGAATCGGACTGTATCATATTAAAGGCTGGTGTATCAATTATTAATCAGAAACAATATATTAAAATGACTAAAAGCACATTTTTGCCCGTTTTATACTTATTTATATCGCATTCACCGCTGTTTCATATCAGAACCGACTCCCGAGATCATTCCTCCGACACCATCGACCTCCATGCCAGGGTTCGATTGCGGATTCGAAGAAGACTGGTGCGGTTTCTCTCAAGCCCCGTGGGACCAGGGAGATTGGAGTCTCATTACACCCAAGACACAAGGATTCCAGTTAACCAATATCTGGGATCACACTATTAGATCGGCGAAAGGTAATATATTTTAACCGGAAATTCCTGACAAGCAGAAAAAACCTCATTAGCCTCATTCTTACTCCGTCTCCCCACCTCTACTTTATCGGGGTCGACACTTGCCCCATGTGCCTCAATATGCCACTTATCGAAAACCAATACCATTTCAAAGGCAATAAATAGAGATCGGTTTAAAGAGCTTGTTTGTAATATAAACTCCTAAAATGAGAGGATATTTGAACATTTTTTGTATTCCACATATGAAAATTCGCAAGGATGTATAGAGCTTGATATACGAATGGCTAATACATGTGTGATTCTATTGACTTGCGCTGAATATGATAATGATGATCATCAACATCGCTTTCATCACCATTATTTTTTCTGCGAAGATTTAAATTTCGATTTTACTATCATCTTACAGGTCATGTCATAACCTTCGATCCGAATCGGGGTCAGTTCAAGACGAACGACCGCTCACGACTATACTCGCCCATGATGTCCCCGTCCAATGATCCGCGTTGCTTGACCTACTACTACCACATGTCCAACCAAAATGTCGACCATATGGGTTTCTACATCAGAAACTTCAACGAACCTCTGCCGCTGGACCCCGTTCTCTCAGTATTCGGGAAGCAGCCGTGGGGATGGCATGAGCAGAAGTATACCATTGATCCGTCCGATCAATATTTCCAGGTTGGTAAATTACGATACAATTGATACTAATTTCGGTGAGTATCCTTACCCTTATGATTCAATGTTTAATCACCGTAAACAATGCCCACTTTTGCATGGTATAATTTTCTTGAATGACTTTGAAAGGATTTCTCTATCTTCTTATTATCTCCAACAGTTTCTAACTTAGACTTTGCGTCCATTGACGACCAATGATTTAATTTTTGTCATCTTCCATCGCTTTCATCCTCCTCGCTATTTCGGTATCAGAAAACTATAAATAGACATTCCTTGAAGAACATAATGAATAACTTTCCTTGAAAAGTGCCTACATGCCCTTGGACACAATACATAATTTAGTTTTAAGCATTACCGATTTATAATGCATTTTCCCTATACCTGGGCCTAGGCCAGCCGCTAGACATTGTTTTGAGTGGTGCTTAATCACTTCTTTCCATCATTTCAGGTATGTTTTTACATCAGCGTCGGACCAAAGAAGTGGTATTCTGCAATTGGGCTTGATGATATCAGTATTACGAATGGGGCTTGTGAAGGTAACCATAACTTTATTCCCACAAAGGTTACTGATGTTTACAAAACATTAAATGATCGGTCATTTTTTTGTATTTACCTTGTTGAGTTGCTATCTATCAACATTTCCATAAACTCTTGTTAAGTATAATTTCCCTTCAGTGGACTTATATTACAAATAAGGGGTAATCCCTGGTAAAAATATAGCTCCTGTTTTTTTTTAATATGACTCTTGTCGTATTTGTGAATAGAATGGCTTCGTAATCTCATATCTGTGTAAAAACAACACTATATAATTATATTCGTTAACAATTTGAAGGTGTGAAAACAAATTCTCATCAGAAATGGTCGGAGTTTATGAAAGTTACTCAAACGTCAAACTGTATCTAAAGATAATATAATTGATCATTGACAAATCGCGCATTATTTTATGAATAAAATTACCTGTTCATTTTCGTTTTGTATTTGTTGTTTTGGCTCGTTTGAATTGACTAACTGGGATGTTGGCCAAATGTATATACCATGTAATAACATCTGTGTTTCATGTATGTAAAATCATGCAGTTGCACCGACACCCACCCCAAAGACCGGTAGCTGTGATTTCGATCAGGATATCTGCGGTTATACTCAGTCCCCAAACGATCAGTTTGGCTGGACCAGGAGAAACGGACCCACTGCATCACTGTACACGAGTCCTCTAACAGATCATACCACAGGAACATTGGAAGGTAAGACAAAATGGCGGATATTTTGTGTTAAAGCGTCCTAATATTAGGCCTAGTCCAGGCAGATCTATTACTGTGATTTATGGTTCACCAAGTTTTTAAATTCCCATAACTGATTAACCTGCAGTTACACTTTGTCTAAGAACGATCAGTTCGACCATAGGTCCATGGTTCGACTGGATCAGGAGAAACAGACCCACTGCATCACCGTTCTGCAACAAATTATACAACAGGAACATTGAAATATATAACTGGAAACAAAAATGGCCTGTGATCATATAAGCTTAAAAAAAAGTCCAGATTTAAGGGGTCAGATTTGGACATGATCTTTGGACTCCAAAGTTTCAACCTTTAAATCTCTTTCAAATTGGTGTTTGCTATAACTTTGATGATAGTATAATAAATGTATCAAGTTCTGTTTGAACTTGTTTTTGGTCGTTACTTTATTATTTTACTTAAATTATCATCTTAAAACTCCTCTTGCTGTCACTGTATACAAATGCAAAAAGACATCAAACGTTAGCCCTTGCATGTTTACGTCTAAGTTAGTTAGTTCTATATTTGACTTAGGACTTGACGACAAAGACCGAAGCGTTGTAGCATTGTTTAATAGTCGCCTTTTGGTTTGTTTAATCGATGTAATTCAATAGTTAATAAAGTTTGTCATATGTAATGTAGCTATGCCAAAGAAATTCAAAACCATGCAGATGATCCCTAGAAAATATACTGTTGCATTGTGTCCCAACCATTCTTCAGGTTACTACATGTACACTGAGACCTCCTCGGCCAGACGACCCGGCGACACCGCCGACCTGATGTCCCCGCCCCTCTCGGGAGACAACGAAGGGTTATGCCTCCAGTTCTACTATTATATGTACGGGCGGGACATAGGCAATCTGGTGGTCTACATCTTACCCGAACTCTCAGACTACCAGTCCCTGGTCGAGATCAGTCGAGACCAAGGACAGAAGTGGTTTCATAAGAACGTCGACATCAAGGCTATACCCTTTGAGACATTTCAGGTAATTTTACAAACAACAATAGAGATTTTTAAAACTCTGTATATCCTCTCTCTCTCTCTCTCAATGGCTTGCTCTCTTTTCAAAACCGTATATGAAGCAAACACATACACACCCACAACTACACCCACTTCCCGCACATCAGTCTTATTCTCTCGCCCCCATATTTTCTCTTTCCCGCTTCATTTTCTATCCTTTCCTCTTTAAGGCACTTTATTGTTTCCCCAGGTTTTTTTATGATTCAAATTAAACGATCTGTTTAAAAATGATAGGTCAATTTATATAGGGCAGGTACTAAATAAATGTACTTTAGTGCGCTTTATACAAAAAATATCATATCATTACCCCCCCCCCCCCCCCCCGCTGTAGCTGAGCCGCCATATATAATAAGGTGCCAAAAACGTAATTATTTCTATAACAACATATCATACATAATATAGTTAAAAATCACAAAACATATCAAGAAGATCAATATTATTGTGTACGACCATTAATAGTCAACTGAATTAATGAGTGAATTTTTTATTGAAAACCTTGTGAATGGTTCAAGCATCGTGTGTAAATGTTACACATCTATCACTAATCTTAGAAATCATTAAAGTACAATGTCTTAATGGTGTTTTTTATTTGCACGTGGTATCTGACGTGCTACAGATCGTTTTCAGAGGCATTGTCGGAGGAGGACCGAGAGGAGATATCGCAATCGACGACATCACCGTCTTCAATCATCCGTGTTCTGGTGTACGAACAGAGAGTGTATGCGACTTCGAGAGCGGACCGGAAGTGTGCGGCTACGGTGAGGCAAACGGGATGGGAGAGGAGTGGGATTGGTACGATGCCGTTGCCGTTGTTCCTCCGCCAGTCGGTGATATGGGTGAGTAAAGGAACATTGATTTCACCCTGACGCATGAAGCAAAACTGATGCCCACTGTACACACAGCCGTATTGGCTGGAGTATGACTGCGTCAGAAATTGGCACGGTCTTCGACGCGCAATGTGAGAGTTAAATCGTACAAGAAAGTGAATGTTAAATACTGAACTGTTGAAACATTGCTTTGTATTACTAGCACGGTTGCCTTCTAAGTTTGGTTAAAATGGCGCCTCGTGAACAGCTTCAATTAGTACCCGTTGCTCACCAGGAGATTGTCATACATTAGCGAAGATATTCCTGGAATGCCATAATATGCTGGATATCCAGAGAACCGAGTCCTTTCTCTCATTTCGTTATTAACGCTCTTGAAATAATTTGAAAACACGTACCCCATTTTTGTGTTCGTTCTGACCCTAACAGCTCAAGCTTTCCATTCTTGAATTTTAGATGGTTCATTTGTGTTCAAGAGTCCAACACCTGGTCTCACGGCGGTCTTGACTACCCCGACCCTGGATGTACGATCTGGTAAACAATATACCCTTTCACTCGACTACCAAATCTTCAACGATTCAAAGATGGCTTTCACGATCAGTATCGAGAGAGAGAACCAAACGGACAACCATAGAATCTTCCAACAGACTCGTGGCGTAGAGGGCGTCGTGAAAGGAAAATGGGATGTTGACACCGAGGCTCTCGGCTTGGATTTTGCGAGGGTGAGGCGATTGAAAAGCGTTTTAAAATGTGAAATATAGAATGCATGGTTGTTGTTCCTTCGAATTTCGCCAAAATATATCTCGAAAAAAGTGCATTGAAATGATAAACTAACCGTAGATTGTGGTCTGTCAAAATGCGTACATCATTCCAAACAGATTAACGACGCCCAAGGATGATCATAACGATAATAATGTGCAACGTGTAGTTGGAAGTTTTCACCTGTGTTTTATTAATAATTTCTATAGGTTTCGCCAAAGCAGCTTCTCTTTGCACATTTTAACAAACTTAGGTGGTACTATTCAAAATCAGACGATATCATCAAATCTAAATGTTCCTATTTTAAGAGGATTTCTTTATAAAAGATGCGATCTAATTTTCGTAGAAAGAGCGGTCATGTTAGATTTTGAAACCTAAACAACCAATATCGACCTTATTCAGGTTCTAAATACTAATACAATGTTCACAACCGAAAAATAAGTGCGTTTAACTCTTCTAGTCAGACTAAAGCCGAATCGGCTTCAAATTGTAGACAATCACACTGCTGCATGACGTCACTACGATTCTGAGCCGATTCAGCTCTTCCTTTTCCAAGAAAGCATGAAATCCCTTGAAAAATAGATTTTATCCATCATAATTATGACTACTCAGATGCTACGGCGTTAAGATTTTACATGTTCAAATTTTCACATAAAATGCAATCACGAATTCTTCCAAATTTGGATCGTAGTCAGATCGTGTAGTGTGCGCCGGGCTGCATTATTTTCTTTAACCAAGTTGGGCACATTTAGGAAAAAGGTATGACTAGATCTAAATTGTTAAATATGTATGTGAGTAGTATAGACATAGAACTTGACCTTACACTTTTGCAGATTATTGATAGATGATCAGATTTGTTTATCTTTCAATTATCTGGTTTTATTTGTTTGTGTTTTTGTCTACAGATCGTTTTCACCGCCTCTACTACCTCATCCCCACAGAATGGGGTTGTAGCTATCGATAATGTGGTTTTCAAACCTACAATCTCCGGTAGGCTAAAATATGTTTGAAGGTTGTGAAATATATTCCCGAACTATGTTGTATGATAATATAAACCATACGAAATGAAAGAAACATCATGGCTTTGATCTACTCCACATCATGCAAAATACAAATTGACATGCTATAAAGGTCCCATGATTAGACAATTTCAAGTCCTCCCCCCTCCCCCGCCCCCGACTAGTACCAGGATGAGCATTTGATACCAACCCAACCATAAATGTTTACCATGGTAAATCGTAATAATAGGTGAATAGACAACGATATTCATATTCCGCCCTCCGTCAAGTGATCAGGAGGCATGAATATTTAAAGTCTTGAAAGTATCATCATATTCCCATTATCATTTTGTTTAATACTACCTCAATTACATCAATAAGAGGCCTTGAAAATCGACATCTCTCATAGTCATAAGATAATCCTGTGCACATTACTTACCATGTGATTGTCATAGTGTGCAGCGTGTTGTATATCCTAATCTATCTTCATGAACGTTGATTATTATGTCCCAATTTGTTATTATCATTCTTCAGAAAAACCGACGAATTCGGCACCGATCATCAACTCTTATCGTGGAGAAACCATCGTCCTCGGCGTCTTTCTCTCTATTTTCATCGTCATCATCATTGCCGTCTTCGTTGTCCTATTCTTGCGACGATCGCGAAGTTCGGATTCCATGACCATCGGCTATAAGAATCACAAAGACGATGCTACGATGTCCGGTCCTGTCGCCATCAACAACGCTGTGGATGAGGCAAAGAATGGGATAGATAATCCCATGTATGGCCCCTGAAATACTTTTTAGAAAAAATATCTTAGTGGACCCGGCGTACATGATTCTTAAAACTTCCCATACAAAACAATCCATAATTATATACCATTCTTACTTTAAATCAGTCATTGTGATATGATACTCTTTAAGATCCTAATAAAAGTCAATGACAAATAAATGTGATTTTTAACAGTAGTTTGTACATTTTGTTTGTGAACCTACAACGGTTACAAACACATTTCTAAAAAAAATTGATTTCACTTTCATTTTCTTTCTTTAATTCTTCTTTTTATGTTTATTGCAACCATATGAACAACATACATAACATATCATAAAACAACATGATGAAGAATGAACATTTTAAATCGATACTTAATATTGATGTAACTGCGAGTAAGTCAAATGAATTTTATTTTGCTCAAGCTGTATTTACCCATATTATCTTTGAATTATAATGATTAAAAAGCAAGATTTAATTCTTGAATATGTATGTTCTCTATTAAAAGTAAGAAAGAGGCTTTTTGTTTGATATGTAACCTGTCGCTTTTATTGTAAATTAAGCCCCCCCCCCCCTCTCTTCTCTCTCTCCCTCTCTATCTATCTCTCTCTCTCTCTCTTTCTCTCTTTTTCTCTTTATTTCTCTCTCTCTCTCTCTCTCCTCTCTGTCTCTCTCTCTCTTTCTTTCGCTCTTTTTCTCTTTATTTCTAACGTGTCGCATTTATTGTAAATTAAGCCCCCCCCCCCCTCTCTCTCTTCTCTCTCTCCCTCTCTATCTATCTCTCTCTCTCTTTCTCTCTTTTTCTCTTTATTTCTCTCTCTCTCTCTCTCTCCTCTCTGTCTCTCTCTTTCTTTCGCTCTTTTTCTCTTTATTTCTCTCTCTCTCCTCTCTCTCTCTCTCTTCCCCTCTCTCTTCCCCTCTCTCTCTCTCTCTCTCTCTCTCTCTCTCTCTTTCTCTCTATTTCTCTTTTCTCTCTCTCTCTCTCTCTCCTCTCTCTCTCCTCTCTCTCTCTCTCTATGACTCACTATATTTTCCTTTTGCCCCATCCCCCTCAAGTTTCGTTATGCCTTTCCTTCTCAAAGGGGTTAATAATTCACCGCAAACACAGACAAATTATTGAATTTGAGAATTCTTCTGTGATATCACAGCAGGAATCCGCTATCGAAGCTCCGTATTTATTTGCTTTCCTTTTTTTCGTGTTGAAACTGGTATCGCAATGGATAACAGAAGCTTTCAGTAGCCACTTCAGAGCACGAAATCCATCAAGATTGCAAATAGGCAAACACGTCAAACCTCTATGGACAATTATGAAACTGTTTAGTATGAAAAGTACGTTAGGATTAAAGTTTAATTGTTGCGTTAAATTGAACTCGTTCTACACAGCAACGGAAAGGTTGAACTACTTTGAAATTACAAATGATAAACAGTTAAATTAAAATAAAATACACTCCATGTTTATTACAAGTTGATTCAATAAAATACAGCAATAAACAAAGTAGAAATAATATTTTAAAATAAAATCAAGAGGGAAACGAAAAGGACAGACGAGAGAAATGTTGAAATAGAAGTAGAAAGAAGAAAGTTAGGTAGAATAATCGTAATAATTCTGCACGGATAATTTGTACGATGGATTCAGTTATTTAATAAGTCAAGTTTACAATCGGGT